CACAAGGACCTGCATGCCCAGAAGTTTCTTTCTCTTCCTGACAGTTTAGATCAACCAGGGCAACAGATGCTGCTTCTCTCTGAGTAACTGCCCTACCATGAAAGCAGGGGTATGGGATCTTCCAAGTTCACAGCATCAAGTGCATCAGCTTAGCATCAAGTCTTCAAGGAGTCTGCTCTCAAAGAAAAGCATCCAAAAAGCTCCAAGATGGATTTGCAGCATAAACTACCAAACCCATCCCACACAGTAGCAAAATGGCAGTGACTTATCTGGCTTCCAACAGATCCCAACTGCATCATGGCTTGCTTTGCATCTATGCCCTTAGAGGCTCTCCTCCCGGAACCAACCAGTGCTGGAAATCCCAATGCAATGACTGTTTGTGGTAACAACTCAGAGCTGGAATGTAAGTGCTTTACACTTGAACTATGACAAGATGCAAGTTTACCAAGCACCATCCAGCAAGTCCTACCAAAGAGGCAAGGACACAGAACTACAGTACACACTCAAAACAAAAAGCAGCCCTCAATACAAGCCATGTCCACCACTGTAGCATCTCAGTGCTATTTTCAGGCAGGGACAAAGGATGACTCCATCACCTTTTCCTCTAGATAGTTCTTGTAAACAGCTACTGACCACCTGTTGCCCCTCCAACAGGGAAGTTCTGAATGAACCGTATAACTTGACATCATCTGGAGATGTCAGGCTTGTGTCTGCCAAGCCAAGAGAGCCACACTGGCCAACACACCACACGCTCCAGTTGCAGAGGTTACCTTCGACAGAGTGCGATTGTGCAAAATCAGCAAGAAAAACATCTCTCCACCTCAGTTTATGAAACCTTATAACTTGACATCATCTGGATATGTCAGGCTTGTGTCTGCCAAGCCAAGAGAGCCACACTGGCCAACACACCACACGCTCCAGTTGCAGAGGTTACCTTCGACAGAGCGCGATTGTGCAAAATCAGCAAGAAAAACATTTCCTCTCCACCTCAGTTTATGAGAGACTTAATATGTTTAAGATCAGAAAAGCAGCAACAGACAGATTCTGTGCTGGCTTGTTAGTTCTCCTGCCAGCTAATACATATTTGTATCAGTCCACATAGCCCTGCTGCCTCAGACACCTCTGATCTCGTACCACTTCCCTAACGAAGGGTAAGGGCGATAGCTGGACAGTTAACTCTGGGTAACAGACCCTCAGGAGAAGGGCAGTTGCTGGTTATTTCTTTGTGCAAGTTGGCAAATACAACCTTAAGTTAATGATGAGCCCTAGCTTCCAGCTGCAACCCCACAAATAAAAGCTGCTTCCAAGTGCCAAACAGGCTTGCTTTTTCACCTTAGGAAACTGCATCATCTCCCCATTTTATAGATGGAAGAAGTAACCAAGGAATCTTCAAGAAATCTGGAACCAGCAGAGATCTTTACTTTGTGTCTGAGCACTGAACCATAAATATCCTTCCTTCGTTTACCTGCACAACCTACAGCGGATACTGCAAACCTTATCCCAGATCCCTTTTCATTACAGTCCAGCTAACACCACCTCAACTGCATCCACCACATGGGCTCAGGCTCGTGACAAATGACAAAATGAAGCAGGAGGCAAATAAGAAGTTGGATTAGCACATTGCTCCTCCCCTTGCCTGCAGTGCTGGTCAGGCACCATGACATGACCTCCAGTGACAGGAACTGATACCAAGGAAGATCTAAATAATCAATGGCCATAGCAGTTGGTAAAGTACACGGTGAGCACACAGGGAAGCGCACAGATCCACCGACTCAAAGCAGTAACACAGATCCCAGAAGGGAGCCCTGATGTCCAAATGCTTTTTTAAAAATCATACCATGCACAGAGCAAAAGAGAAGGGCACCGATATTAACTGTAGCTTCCACTGCAATGAACTTGGAGTATTACAGAGTTTAGTGCAATGATTTGGCTCCACTCTTGATTCCAAAACCCTCCCTGTTAATATTACATGAAGGAAAAAATGGATTCAAACCATAGGAATGTTTAGAAAAAAGTCAGAAGTGCCTCTGTGAGTCTGAGAGTCACATCTGCTTTCCAGCTCCAGAGCACTGGAATCGCTCCAGAGGGAAGCGAATGGGGAGGTGGGAGGGGGGAGGAGAAGAAAAAGAAGAAAAAAAGAAAAAGAAGGACAGGAAATGAGGATCAGCACATGGCCAGGAATCAGGGGAAATTACATGCTTAAGGTGGAACAGGCTAGTGTCTTTAAGGTGGATTCCATCTCAAAAAAAGTGGATTTGTCTTTATTTCCAGACCCCGGTGCGGGTGCTCAGTCTCTGTCCGGCACAAGGGGCACCTCAGCAGCAGGATTCGGCTGCAGCCTCTTCTGCTCCAGCCTCTTCTGCTCCCTCGCTGCAGGGGAGGCTGCTGCCCCTCTTAAAGCACTGAATATTCAAGGACATATTGCCAAGTAAGAGAAACCATCTTCTGAGCAGTGCCTAGCAGCACTCATAGTGCTGTAAGCATAGTAAACTGTACAAGAGGTTTGAGATCAACTATATGGGCTGTGAAGGACAAGCTTCTTGGGGTGGCATTGCCCTGCCACTGTTTTCAGTGGTATGACCTGCAGAAAAAAGTTACTTCTAAAAGCAGATTAATCCTCCAGCAAGCTTGCAAGGCGCTACCCCAGAGCAGCAGAGGCTTTTCCTGCTCGTGGCTGATGCCCAGAGCACTCAGGGCCTGGTGAGGTCTGACCCTCCTCACAGCAAAAGCCAGAGCTGCTCAGCTCAACGCGCTGCCTCGGTGCAGCCAAGGGCACGTGGAGCTCCTGCCTCCCTCGTGACCTCCACTGGAGCCTGTGGCCTCCAATGTCCTCCGTGGTCATTTGCACGAGGAGCAGTTCAGCTGCTGCAGCAAGGGATACCCAACGCCAGAATGAGCTGCCGCTATAAAACTTCACATGCACACGTTGCTATTCTTAGAAAAATGAGCACTTTGGGTTGGCCAAAAGGAATGTGCACAGAAAAAAAAAGTGGAGGGGAAAAATCTGCTTATGATAGAGCTGTTAATATGATGAGGGGGAACCTAAAGCAGAATTAAGGCTGTATTTCAGAAGGAAAGGAATTTCAGAATAAACTCAAGGTCGTTCTCCCCTCAAAGCTTATGGGCTCTTAGTTCTTCTGACTGCAGCTTTGGATTTAACTTCTGTGAATGATTAAAGGAGAAAAAAATGTGACCTGACCAAACCCAGGCGTTTTGAGTTCCTCCTATCTGGAGTGCCTTCCTGGCTCTACTTCTATCTGTATTAACCTCCTCCCCTTAAGGGAGCATTAAAAAAAAAAAAGAAAAAGAAAAAATCCCTACAGAACACACATTTAGTACAAGACATCAAGAAAAACAACAACATTGCTTCAGTCAGCACTTTCGTAGCCTTCATTCATAGCTGATAAATGAGGCAAGATTCAAACAAAAGCAAGTTAGGGAGGGAAAGGGGGAAGTCACTATTATAGAGACATTCTTGGTGCAAAAAGGCAGCTAGATGAAATGTTTTAGGCTGCCTGAAAAATAAATGTCCCTTTTTCAGGTGCTATATCACATCTTCCCTGAAGAGAACTGGGATAATGCAGCACGGCCAGTCCCACACATCCAAGTGATGCATATGACAAACCAAGGGGAGTCACAGCAGAGGCACCAAAACTTACAAGTGCTGTGAGAACCCGAACAGAGAAAATTCTCATTAAGCAACTCATCCTGACACCTTATGTGTCAGTGTCCTAACGCCTTACCCGGGACACAACTAAACTATGTTTTCCCATAAGCATTTAAAAACGTGTATTTGAGTCACAGGTCTCATCTGGCTGCTGCCCTGGTAACTAAAGAACAAGCCAATAAAAAAATAAGCTAAATATGCAGTAACTTCACCTGCTCTGAGAATACCTGAACCAGATGTGCAAGATGAAGCAAGTTAGTTGGAACTGTCAATAAGTTTGGAAACAAAAGGCTATAGGCAGCAAATTGATCTTTTATCCCTGAAAATAGCACCACCTGCCCCACACAACTCAACAGACCACAACCAGCCCCTCAGCATTGCTATAAATAGATTCAAATGTGTTACAGAAACAAACTCTTATGCTGGAAACACTTTAAAGTTATGCACAGCAGAAATGCTTGTTAGGACCCCCAGATCTCAACTGAAATGGGGGCTTTTAACTTGAAGGAAGGAAAACCTCCAAGTTAAGGCATTTCCCCACTGGAATAGCCCACAGCTTTTGCAGATGCTGTAAGGTTACTTCAATTGCCATTATATTGTCTTAGCCTTTTCTTTACATTTCTTCAAGATGCCTTATGGATAATTCTGCAGCTGGGCAAGGAAATCCAAGTTATTTAAACATTAACATTAAGTGAATTATCAGAAAAACGTCACAGTCACAGGCTCTGCAGCAGTCCGGCCGCACGGCTGGTTTACCTTATGTACCACCATCCTTCCAGGTTCTTTTGGATGACCTCCACGGTGACCCCTTTTTCGAACCCAATCTCATCCTTCCCCTGGCTGGCATACGGCTGGATAGTGACATATTTCTCTTCTAGTGAGGGGAGAAAAGGCAACATCAGTTAGGGTCAGAACCAGTCCAGCTGTTTTTCTCGTCTGCTCGCTTTTTAAGCTGTTGTGCGGTGATTACGTGGAGCCATTAACAAGGGCGGAGCCCCGCTCAGGGGCCCACGGTTATTTATGCTGACGGCAGGACAGATAATCAGCCCCTTGCCACTACCCTGCTGCTGATAATCAGCGCCTTTCCCTGCCAGTAATGACACAGGGTCCCCCGGGAGTCCCCCCCTCCCGGGCAGGTTCCTGCAGCGGGTAAGAAGAGGATTTGAAGCTGGACTTCACTCCCATGCTGTAACTGACAGATTCAACCCGGCTGCCAAATCAGCGCGGCGTCACCGCAGGAGCTGCAGCCAGTTGGCTCCTTTGAACGTGCACAGGGCCGTGCCGAGCATCGCGGTACTGAAACGCGAGTCCCACATCCCGAGGAGGACCTGTCCTCCCCGCGCCGAGGGGCTGGCCCGTCACGCGGAGCGGGGCTGCGGAGACAAGCTTGAAGCAGCTTTTACAAACATGAGGAGCCGCCTTTGCGCTTAACGCGAGACCGTAGAGCACCTTGCACCCATGGGATGGGGTGTTTTACAGACTTTCATCAACTCTCACTCCAGAGAGCCACACAGGTGGCAATACTAAGACATACCTCAAAACCACAGGCTAGACCCCAAGCTCGATGTTTGAGAAATGGGGCATCCTTACTCATCTCCAGCAGTTATCCCCTCCCAGGCCAGGCAGGGGTGAACAGACTTGTAGAGGGGAAGCCAAGGAGCACAGGGAACAGACACTTTTCTGACATCTTCCTTACCCACCGGGAGCCATTTATGGCTGTCTCTCCATCACACTCAAGGTCAACCTCTTTGTACATTGGTTGAAGGCACAGACAGTGCGACTTGGCAGCCTCCTGCTCTGCAGCAGCACGCACAAGCAGTGCCACTAACCCACTCTCCTGCATCCCAAGCTCTAGTGCACAGAACTGTAGGAGTTGCTGTGGCTCCATAAAACGCATTGAACAACCAATAAAGGACACCCAGATGGGCCTTCCTAGCACATTTGCTGCTGCTGGTCCCAACAAGGCACGGCTGAGTACAAATAGGGCACAGGAGCAGGCAAGAAGTTAAGCAAATCCAGTGTTCCCAACAGCTGCCAAAAAGCAGCTCAGCAAAGGTTGCAGCAGCTCAAGGCAAATGCTGTTCTAGAGAGAACAAGGCAGACAACCATATTTTGGATTTTGCAGCTCAATTGCATTTTTTTGCTGAGTAAATTATAGGAACTTTAAAAAGTAGCATTATTGAGGTACAGTAAGAAATACTACCTCAAAAAAAGAGAAAAAATTGGCAAAGCATCTGATGGCAACAAGTTCAGCAAAACTACATCTTTGAAGCCAACTTCCCTTGATGAGTCTCGTTCGGATCCTTTTCACTCTGAGGGAATAAAATCTCTTGAAAACTTTGCCTCCTCAAAGGAAAATAACATCTCCAGTGCCCCAAAAACAAGCTGCTTTAGCTGCTTTACTACTGCTAAGGAAGTCCAGGTTATTTCTAATTAGCACCATCAGGACATAACACTTTCCCAACAGAATTTCTGATACAAAATTAGGTCTGATGACTGCTGATGCAGCTAATGAAACCTGGCCTCAAAGTCACAGGACAGCTTTGCTCACTGTGCAGCTCTGCAGAGTAAAGTCAGACTCCCTTCTTTATTTAAATTGACTGCTGCTGAAGGAGTTAAGTATCCTATTTCCACCACCTGGAAAAGCCTAAGCATTAAACTGAACAGCAGAAGATCCCAAGGCACTTGAACTCCTCCCCAAGACAGCATGGCCAAGAGAAAGTGCAGGTACCTGGAGCTGCAGCACTGTCCCAGAAATGCACTGCCTTGGAGAGCCTCCGGGGACATTTCTAGGACAATAATAAAGAGCTAAACCATGTGTTTGCTGAGCTTTGGAAGAAGGCCCTGCTTTGTCTCTCCCACATACCAGAGCCCCTTTATAACCCAGGCCATCGGAGTTCACTCCTGCCACTGCAGCTACAAGACAAGTTTCTGTTTAGCTTTTTTCCTCCATGTAAACAGGAGTCTGCTCTGCAGAAGGGATCTTTATTCAGTCAGTTCCAGCTGCCCTTGCTGGGCAAAGCAGCCCCACTCTGGGACTGCAGCCTGATACCTTCTGCCGAGGACAGAGCTCACGGGCAGGGTGTTCACACCAGCCTTTGCACACAACTTGCCAAACTTCTGCTCCCACAGAATTTCTTGTGGGTGAGACCTTGCACTGACACCACAGTGGGCATCCATCAGGTTTTGCCAGCACTTCCAAGTCTGATCTTTCACGGGAAGTCAAAGTTTGGGGGTAATGGTTCTTTGCAGCTGGGAATTCAGTCACTTCCCAGACATCAGATCCTTACCTCTACTCAGGCAAATCACTGTCTCCATTCGGAAAGCACAGACCCATGCAAGGTAGCTGGCTAGTGCTGTAACCACAACTTCTGGGCTTGCAGCTGTGCGTGTGGGTACTCCTGCTCTACCTGACATCTACTCCAGTACCTTCTTCCCAGTTTCAAAGAAAGTCAAAAAAGCAAAGATTTATTCTTTGAAGGACTTATAACAACCCCTCTTGTTCTAGCTTGAGGGGCTGGCAGGGACAGAACTAGCTGCTGCACACACTGGAAAAAGCAGCAGTTGGCTGCCCAGGGAAGCCCCATCCCATGCTGGGCAGCTGCAGCTCCTCTCCTGAGCTTCTTGCAGGTTCTCTGGGAGAGACACTGCAGAGCAGCCCTCAGGAGCCTCCAGCACTGAGGCTGCTCCTTTGCTTCTTGCCGCTCTCTCCTGGTCTCACACTGATGCGCTCGACAGTGTCCATCAGGGACACAGCCTGGCTTTAAGAACACCAAATGGGCAGGAACATCCCCACCCAAGTGTCAGAACAGCAGGGGACACACAGGTGAGCCCAGGAGGGTTTGCTGAGCAGTCACTGTCCTGTGTGGCCCAGAAGCAAATCTATGATTAACTCTTCAGCCTTGCCTCTTGCAGCCCGAGACTACTGCTCTTTGAAGAGATGATTCCTCCTTACAAGGGGGAAGAGGAAGAGGAGACTTAAGGGGAAGTAGAGAGGGAAGAAAAGGGGAAAAAATAATTCCCATGAAGCAAGGCGATCACAAATAGGTCCAAAATCCATTTAGAAAAGAATCCTATGATGTTTTTGTTTAGTAGTTCTATTTTTAAGCCTGCAGATCAAAAACAGGAAGCCACCATTAAAATTTCCCCTTGCGGAGTGCTTTCACAGCAAAAATTACAGCCATTTCCAAGATTACACACGTTGGGTTTCTTTCAGCGGTGCAGGGGATACCACAAACACACATGAGGTTTGTAACTTAAACAGTATTCTGGAGATAGGGGCCCCACTGAAACCCAAGTGCAGTTCTGGTTTGCTTCTCAAAGATTACCTCTAACCAGAGGATGTTACGTATAAACCCTCACTTGCTGGAAAGAACAGCAGAGCTTCTAGTGGACATGTCACTTAAGAGGATTGATGCAACATCTGACATATCAGATTATTATTCAAAAGTCTTTAAGAGACATTTGACATTTCACGATGGATACATAAAGTTACTGGAAAGACTTTAAACAGATAAATGGCTTCAGGAGAGAACTGGCAGAGCATCAGCCAAGAGAAAGACAAGGCACTGACTAACAACGACAGTTCTCAACTATCATGTTATTTGTTTAGATACTGTTACAGGCAATGGGATAGCACTCAAATCAGTGAACCATCCCAGAAGATCTGCTGTCAGAGCTGCATGCCCAGATCTGCAGAGAATAAAGAAATGCTTCTTTTTGATTCATCAAGTTTGACTTCGCAATTACTGTCAAGAAATGCAAGCAGAAATACAATGCGTATTCCCCAGCTACAGTTCGCACTGCATCAACTTCATTGCTGAGGTCAAGTGGGCAGGGCAGGCTTTGCTATGCAATTCTGAACAACTCCACCAGCTAAAAGGCTCTTCTTGGGAAATAGTGAGAGTCCTGCTCCCCCTCAAGATCACCTGAAAATGAGGAGATCTGTTCTTCGTGCTACATAGCAGAGATTTCTCAATAGCCTAATTAACACTTCACTTATTTCTTTAACTCCAATTTGTGGGTTCAAGCCATCTCCCCAGCTGACCCAAGTGAGGTGCTGCAGTTGGGAATTCAAGCACACCAGCAAACTTAACCAAGGCTCACAAGGAAGCAGTGCCAGCTCGGCAAAGAGCTGCCCTGCAAGCCAGTGACATCATGCTGCATCCAACTGCAACCCATTTAGCCGGGAAGGAAAGCATCACTATGTGGCATTCTCTCCTCCAGACACACACGCACTATTTAAAACAAGAATTTCTGCACTGTTTGGACTACCCAAGCCACACCGCCCACTCAACATTCCTTGTAGGAATCACATACACAGGCCTCACATACACTCAGTCCACAAGTTGCTGCAACAATAAAAATCAAACCCAAGCTAGAAACCCACTCTGGCATCCTGCACAGCTGCACACCACATTGCTGCAATCCAGCAGGGAGGACACAGCAGAGAGCTGGACATCACCCTGCAATGCTGCTAGGGACAGTATATAACTTCATAGTTGTGACTCCAGACATTCACAACCTGGGTATTTTCAGCAGGCTTAGTACAGTGAGGCCACTGGTATTTGAGAATTATGGGTCACATCTTCACAAGCTACAGAGATTTAATGCACCTCCACAACTGTTAGGAAATAAAAACCTGAAACTCAACCATCTGGTCTCCTTCCAGCACCGTAACGGTGCTCTGGTAACCAGATTGACAGCTGCCAACTGAGGCCTTCTCTATATGCAAGTAGCTTTAGAGCTAAAAAGCTGCTTTTAAAACAGTTCCATAAGTGTTCTGTTAGTGTTGCAACACATAAAATTCCCTTTTCCTTCTTTCTTCCAGCCTCACACCCTCCACCTCTCCTCAGAGTTCATGACTGTGCCATG